CAGGATTTGAGTATAGCTAACTTCAGACACTTTGCTCTTAACCACTATGCTGCATAGTCAAGAGATGAGTAAGACTGGCCAGGCGAAGAGCAGGAGATGTGGCTGTGAAGGAAAGCGTTCTAGGCAGAGGGAATGACAAGCAAAACCAACACGGCCTGGCTTATTTCAGGAACTATAATAATTACCAACACTACTAAAGCATAAATAAGAAAACTGATTAAAAAAATAATTTTGGAGAAGTAATTGCAGCAAGATCATAAGAGGTACGTATAGCAATGCTTCATTTATCTGAGATTATGGAAAGCCAACCCCATCATTTTGTTCAAGGATCTTTCTGAACTTCCATTTCCTTACCTGTAAAATAAAGAACATACAAATATCTACTTTATTAAGTAGCTGTGTGAACAAAAGATAACAAATATAAGAACTGAGAACCAGGCTTGGTACATTTAATGCATTCAATAAATATTAATGATTAATTTTTGCTATTGTGGTTATTGCTAATGAAGTTTTTTGCACATTTGTAAATCTTCAACGTAATTGAAACTTATTTTCTCAAGCACCAAAACTTATTAAACCATCTTTTTCCTTAATTAATTTTAAAGTGAAGTGTACAAATCCCCCAACTTAACAAACATAAAACTTATATCTCATCTATACAGATGGCTGCACCTGTGCCTCACCCCCCTCCCACCCCCAGTGCCCTTCTGCGGCCACCAGGGCAGCTGTGGAAACAACTGACATTTCTAGTGTCCATACATTCAAAAATAGGGACAGAAAAGAAGCCACATAAAGCTAGAACTGCTTAGAGTAGTGTTTCATTCAGAATTTGGGAAAGGAAAGAGGAACATAGCTGCTTAGAGTAACGGTTACCACTCAGTAAATTGACAGGATTTTCAAAGTATTTTGGTGTGTTATACCCTGTCCCCAAATCCACTGGTAACAGTAATGTGCCACCTCTGCTGATAGCTAGTACATAGCCAGTGCCCTTAGATACTTGAAATTTGTTCATTTCTCATGAGCCATACTTCAGAGATTGTGCCCTGGCTTCCACCTTCCTCCCAGTCTACCTTTGTACTACATTCTCCGTGGGCCACTTACTAACTCTCCATACAGGAAGCACACCAGGCACTTGCACACCTCCCTGCTTTGGCCTTTGCTGTTGTCTCTGCCTGGAATATCCTTCTGTCCTCACCTCTTACTACTACCCCGGCTTACCATCCTTCAAGGCTTAGTACAGACACCACCTCCTCTCTGATTTCTTTTTCCAACAGAATTAAATGCTATGTTCTGTGAACTTCCCCAGCACTGTATACTGAACAAAGATATGTGGTGAGCATCGTTCTAGGTGCTTTCTTTACACTATCATGTAATTTTCACTGCGAACTTATAAGAAATAATTATAAACCCCATTTTACAAATGAGGAAACTGAAGCTCTGAGTTGAACTTAACCAATGATCACACAACAAGAAAGGAATACAGCCAGAATTCCAACCATGTTCTGACAGCTCTCAAATCCATAGGTTTTTCACTCTGCTATATTGCCTCTCTTTGATGGCCCTATTTCCAGTTGCTTAGTTAATTATATATTTACATCTGTCTCATGGGATTACAGCAAATTCCTTGATGACAGGGACCAGGGCATGTTCATCTTTATAAATGTGGATAATAATGTATTCATTTATACAAGGTTCTTAGGAGAACTAGATAAGACAATACATTTAAAGCACTTAGCATAGTGTCATGCAAATAATAAGTGCCAAATAATTTGTTGGTTTTGTTGTTGATGTTACCATGTCAGGTGCCAAGAATAAAACCTTGCGCATAAATTCTGAGCTGAGTTTATTTCTGAGAAGTAAATGAAATGGGTAAGGACCTGATAGAAGAGCCAAATGCCACTTTGGTTTGGCTTTTCCCCATACTATTTGACTATTCAATCAGAAGCAACAAGTGCTGTATTTTAACTTTGTTAAGTTTCTATGATAGGGTCAACTGATTTCTTTACCTTTCTATTGCCAGATGAATGTTAGGAAAACTTCCTATTTAGTTCAAAAGTCTGGCATTCTTACTTTCTTGTGCCCTCTCTTATGTGATGTGATTTGTCAAGATTCCCCTCCAAGAAGTCAGTACTTAACAAGTTCTGAGCTAGGAGAAGAAAATCACAGAAGTGAATGGAAGATGTATCCTGAAATTCTGGTGCTTATAAACATAGTGAAATGCCTTCTTTTGTCCTCATAGCATTTAACAGTACTTTAAATCATATTTTTTACTCGTTTACTTTTGTCAGTCACCCCCTAGCAGGAGGTAAGCTGTCTCAGAGGAAGCAATCTCTTCATCCTGTTCACTGCTATCCCCCAGTGCCTAACTCATATAAGCTGAATAGTAGTCACTTATTAAATATTAATAGATTGACTGATGACATTTGTATATATGTGCATATGAATACATATACATGACATCATTCCATGGTTTATGAATAAATGTGAATATATTCCCACACATAGGTGCACATTGTACATTTGTGTACATATATTTATATTTGTACAGAAGATATTTCAAACTGAAAACACAGATACCTGTTTGGCAAAGTTGAGTCTCCTGAACATAATAAAGGCTTCTGACTGGCCTGTATAACATTTAATAAACTTACACTACCACCTGCATACTAACAATCCATGTGGTAAAAAAAAAAAATGGATTTTATTAAACATAGAGTAAAAAAAATTTTTTGACTTAACAAACTATGATACTTTTACTATTTTTTGAAACTCCTTGTCCCTGTATATTAGCTTAACTGTGAGGGGTATAAGGAGGGTCAGACTATGGACCAATAAACTTTCTCTACAAATTTGGCAGGTGAAATTTTCTAAATTCATATGGGCCAAAAAGATGTCTTTATTTAAGCTGTAACATATACAGAAAATTATAATTTATAACAATGATAATAATACCATTGACTGAGTAAAGGTACCATATGCTCAGCATCAGTTTTTTTTAACCTGCAAGGTTAATGTTATCATCTCATTTATAAATAAGGAAATTAAGACTCAAAGAGATAGAATAACTTGCTAAAGATACTCTGCTGTTTATCTAGTCATGGCACAGTCCAAAAATTCAGGATGCTACTCTGAAGCCCAAGCTCTTATCAATACGTAACGATGACTCTCAGAAAGTTTTACAAACACTACCTTTGAGGGATATGTGTTTAGGCAGTTTTTGTGGTGTATGCATTTTAATAAGTAAGTCTCTGCACACAGAGACTAGACCAAATGACAGCCAAACACACTGAAGATTACTCCAGGCTACAGACAGCAAGGGGCAAATGTGTCTCAGAAACTATCGGCCTGTGTTTATCAGAATATGATGCATTTTCCACTTGATAATGTACTCCAAAAGAAATTTATTCTCTTAACAGAGCTTCATTATTATTCCTTCTATTAAAAAAAAAAAAAAAAAGGATCCTTTCATTGCAAACCAATGGAAAGTTCTTAACTCATTTCCTTATATTACTTGAACTGAAAGTGCTTTCTGTCTTCTGAGAAAAGAATTGCTGGATGCTATGCCTTTGGGGTGCTTTTGAGTCCAACATTCAATACCATGGAAATGAGAGATTAGTCCTTATATACTTTTAAGGGAAGTGGGGTTATTTTAAACTTAACAAGAGCAGAATTCTAAAAAGAGAGAGGAAAAAGGAAACTCTTTCCTCCCAGTTTAAAGGAGAATTCAGCTACCTTTCCCTGAAAGAACTGGCTATTATCTCTTTGACCTTTTCAGGAGCAAAGTTTTTTGTTTTGTTTTGTTTTGTTTTTTAATTTATGGGTGTTTCTGAACATTTGTAACTAACAGTAATGAGAAATGTTTGATTAAATTGGCTCTCACCTGCCCATATACTGCTTAGAAAGATCCTATGAAGAGCAAAAGAAAGCACTAAAATCATAAGAAAAACCAGCTGCAGCATCATCAGCCCCAGGGACTGAAAGTGAAAGGGGCATGTGGCAGTGGAAGCACTGGTGTGTCCTCCAACATGCCCAGGGAAGCAGAAAGGATGGAGAAGCAGCTCTGCCTTTCCTCCAACCTACACACAACCTCTGCTGCCAAGAACTTACTTTTAGACACTTAAACTGAAATTCTCAGAAAGGAAGGGAGACTATAACCTCTGAGTTATCCTCAGAGTTCTGGTATCCCCTGGTTTTAGTTTTTTGTTTTCTAATTTCTAGTCCTTTCCAAAAGCACATCTCTCATCCTTCTGAAGGCACCCACAGTCTCAGCCAGAGAGAAAGACAGGAGAGCTCTAGAACTTTTGTGATGAAAATTTCAGCTGCCACACTTCAAAGGTACATGACCTTGAGGAAGTACCTCATCCTTCTGAAGACTCAGTTTGTGATTGGTAAAATGGGGTTAATATTTGTTATTAGAAAGTTGTTGAGGCTTCAACATAAAGGTCATACAGTACCCAGCTCTTAGTACAAGCATCAGTAAGTGCCCTGTGTTTGTTATGGGCATGCTGCACAAAGCAGCTGGCTCCTGGCTGGGTGTTCATGTTTTGAAGATTTGCCCGTTACTCCCTCATTAGTCATTTATGTTACCAACCACTCACCTAACCTCATTAAGACATCGTCTACCTGCTTCTATTTCTCTACAGTTTCGAAGGTCTTCAGAGTCCAAGAGATAAATTCTCATTAAGTGCAGGGGACAAAGTTTGCCTGGCTTCCTCTTCCCAACGGTTATCAGCAAATCTTTGGCTACAACTCCGGCTAGGGCAGAAATCACAGAGGCTTCTTACATGGGCAAAGCAAGTGTCTGCACATTTCTTGGGGTAAAGGATGGGTAAGGACCCCTGACTAAAGCCTCCAGGTTGGGAATGGAAAGGAAAGGAGATAGGACAAGAAAGACTGGATGAAGGGGACACCTCTGCGAGGCGGTCCCCACTGGTGACCCTGTCCTCATTGCACTGGGAGGAAAGGACACGAGTTGGGAGGAGCCGCGAGGTCGGGAGTACCTGAAGAGTCTGGCCGCCGTCTGGTTCCTCCTCCACGCCGTGCCCTGTTGCAGCACCCCCTGCACGATCTCCTTCTCGTTGGGCAGCCGGTAGACAGGGAAGATGTAAAGCCAACAGAGAACCACAACACAGAGGGCACTGGCTCCCACCGGCAGCCGGGTCCTTGGGAACTTCCACGCCAAAACGGCCATGGCCCCTCTAGACGTGTGTCGCCGGGCCCGCCCGCAGGGGCTCATGGCAGTCCCGGGGTCCGGGGGAGCGGGGCGGCAGAGCCTCAGAACAACACTAGGCGAAGTAGCAGCGGAGGATGCCCCAACCTCTGGCCCCCCATGCACACACACCTTGGCTTTCTTGCTTGCACTCGCACGCACGCTTCTTCGGCCCCCACAGCCCCAAAGGTCAGAGCAAGGATTTTTCTCTAATGCAACTTTTTCAAGGATTTCTTTCTAGGGGAAGTGGCCAAGGGGCAAGTCACGAGCTATGGCCATGGTCGCTTCCCCTGCAGAAGGCGGGCACTGAGGTCTCCGCCAGTGCGGAGAGCAGCGGCGGTGAGTCTCTCTGGCCAGTTCTGCAGCATCACTGTCGCTCTCGGCGTGGGTTCGGGAGAGGCTCCGTTCCCTCCCAGACATTTAGTCTCTCCCCGCCTCCCTGCCACCTCTCCCCGCCTCCCGTGCTGCTGCGCCGACAGCCGCCCCCCACCTCCAGCCCCAGACGCGCTCTCCGCGCCCCGCCAAGTCCTTGGAAATTTCCACGGCGGCCCGGGACCGCTATCCTGCCTCAGGCATCTCCTCCTCACCGACCAGGACCCTCACTCCCTGCCCCTCCCAGAGAAGAAAAGAGCTCGCTCTCATCAGTTAATTCACCGCAGCCTTCCGCTGCGCCCCGGACTAAGCAGACAAATGCCCGGGGATTGGTGGAAATAAGGTTCCCCCCCCTCCCCCACCCGCAAAATTTCCTCCCTCGACCTGTTCAGATTCGTGATAGTCCGCTGGAGCACGCGCCCCTCTCTCCCGCCCTTGTTCTCTGGTGATAGAGACAAACAAAAATAATACCCCTCAAAAAATTATATATATATAATTATTTTATATGTAGCAGAGACGGGCTGATAACCTGACCCTTCGACACGAAGCCTGCTTGCAGGAGCTGTCACCCTGCTGCTGTCGCCCTGGTCTCTCTCTAACTGATTGGCCATTAACCCGCAGTGAGCTGCGAGGAGGCTGGCCGAGACTTATTTCTTCCTGGGCCCCCCACCCCTGTTGCCCGGTCCGGAGCCGTGGCTCCAGCTGCCACCGTGCGCGTGCGCGTGCGCACCCCCGCCCCACCCGCCCCGAAGCTCTTGGGCCCGCACGCGCGCAGCGCGCACACACGAGGAGGTGTATGCACATCGGGTCCTCTACCTCTCCTCCGCCCTGCAGGGAAAGGCGCTGCTGCATCCAGATGTGCAGGCAGCTGGTTCCCAAGCACGCAAACCTCAGAACATAACAATGCCTTGGAGGCGCGTTTGCCTACTTCACCTTTTAGATTAAAGGGCTATTGTTCTTAGTCGTCTTTCTCATCTTTTTCGGTTCACAGACTAGTTCATCACAACCCGGACCTCGGAAAAGTGCCACCAGCCTGGACCCGCGGAGCCCAGGGACCCACTGTTAGCCATTTATGCTTTCCGTGGTGGCAGACGCGTAGCTTGGATACCTCCTAGCGGTTGCCTATTCTATTTGCTTAAGCATCTCGTCAAGCATAAAGTGTGCAAAGACAAAGAAGAAATGCGGCAGCCTACTAACCTGATTGGCTTAGTCATCATGAAATCAAAAACTAAGGCCACAGCTCCATTTGCTCAGCCCACCAGGCTGCAGTGCTCAGCGCAACCTATTCTGCTATATGCCCTGGTATCTTTCTCCAGCATCTTTCTCCATTGAGAAGTGGAACTTGAGAAGCTGATAGAAAGTTATTTAGCAAAAAAACAACCAAGTAACCAGAGTACTCTCATTCTTCCAACACTACTACGCTCTCTTAGGAGAATGACCCTGAAGGGCTGCAAATTCTGCAACTCCAAAATAATGACTCTTTGGGGTACTGATTATTTTAAGCTGGTTATTTTTTAAGGCCTAGAAGGCTGGAGAAGAACCTTTGATCTTCCCTCTAACTGCTAAAAGAATTTAAGATGGAAGGCCTATTCCAGGCTCCAGGAAGGAACTATCATCACAGATAACTACAGTTTAATTTGAACTAGGTATGGCAGGCAGGGAGGAACTTTTGTGTCCCACTGTATCTAGATGTACCAGCAAACATTTGTTTACTAAACATTAATACTTTTCATCTCCCTATGAATTGCCTTACTTCCCTTTGAAGTCTCAGACTCTTAGCTCCTTCTCCTTAGTCCAGAATAACATATATACCTCATCGTGCTTTATAGTGTTTGGAATTTTCATGCTTAATGTGAATTCCCATGTAGATTAAATTTTATTTTCTCCTATTAATCTGCCTTATGTGATTTTAATTGTTGGACCATCCTTAAGAACCAAGAGAGGAAGGGGAGAATTTCCTCCTCCCCTACAACCCACTGCCCTCCACCCACAAGCATGCCCAAGAAATCTCTTCTACTTAGGTAAATCAGTAGAGAGGGGAAACCCTGAAATCCAAAAACTACACCTTACCAGAGTGGAGCCTAATAAAGGTTCTTTGAAATGAAGATCACCTGAAGTCCTGCAAAGAAACCACTCACACTCTTCTGTTCTGGAAAGATGGGGAGATGGAGGGGGAGATCCTTTCCCATAGTTGCCAGGGCTGTGGATAAATCATCTGCCTCCTTTGTTCCTATAATTTAAATAAAACATAAACCACCCCAATTTTTCTTTTCTTCCCTAAGTCCAAGAGATACCCATGGAGTAAATAACAAATAAGCCAACAACCAAAAATAAGACCTATCGCAGTTATGATGAGGCTATTTAAATGTTTCCCCATGTAACCTCATAAAAATGCATCAAAGTTGTGCCTTAAATCGAGAGACTTCTGTAATGAAATGTGCTGGTCTTCCTGCTTCTGAAAACTAAAATTCTCTTAACACTTGTTAACTCTTGCCCCACCCTACAGTCCAAATTCATTCACTGCTTTTCTTGAGTACAAAAACCAAATCTATTCAGGCCATTGCCTTCCACCTTCCAAGTCACACAGGCATCACTCTTGTTACTGTATTTTGTGGTACACCTTTCTTTTTCCATGGGATGTCTTTTTTCTTTCTCCACACAAATCCAATGCATCATTCAAGGCCAACCCAATTAGCTAGGCATTTCTTCCTCCATGTGTTCCCAGACTAACACACAGGCCTCATGGGGTAGGAACTCAATAAATTTTTGTAGTTTCTGCTCCTATTCCCTTTGACTTCCTTTTATGAACTTCTATAGTATTTGCTGGCTCTGACAGATGATTAAGTACTTAGATGTGTTATGTTACTAGCATTTTTCATATGCAACTTTGTCTCAGCAACTGGGCAGTAAGAGTATATGTTCTCTTACATCAAATGGCAAGCCTGTGCTTTTGATCCAAATGAGGACTCCACATGACATGCCTACATGTCTAGGGGAAAAGTAAGAACAGTATTTTACCTTTTCTTTACATTCCTCCAAGTACCAACTCAGGCTTCAGCACATATGTACTCAACAAATAATTGTTGCTTAATTGTTTGCTTGATACATTCAAGGGTCTCAAATTTATTCAGGCTTTTGCTAAAGCAGCATAGTTTAAGAAAAGTATAAACTCCCACAGTTTAATGTTTTAAATAAAATATTTTACCTGATATTTAGCTATGAGAATTATACAACTTTTAGGGGATAGTTTAGGTATTGTTTTATACTTCTGCTTCTGTGTACACATATAGGATTTGCCCAGGAACTAAACAATTTTTAAAACTCCATAAAATGTTTATTTACTGAGCTAGTAAACATGATCTACAAAACTACTTTATACGGTAAGTAAACTTGATAAGCAGCAGTTTTGTGACATCAGAGTTGTAGTGAAAGCCCATTTAAGCAACAGAACCACCACAAAATCAAAACCATGGAGAAGAGAAAAAGAAGTACCTCTCACTGAAAAGCAAGAGAGAAGATGCAGAAAGTTAATCAGATGGAATAGGACACACATGACTGCTTGTATCCTAATGGGTGTAAAGACATATTAATAGTCACATAGAAGTCTCTCATTAAAAGATTAAATAGAATTGTCAATGACTTGAGATAAAAAAAATTTCAAAAATGTCATCCTTTCTTTAGTCTCCTCTGAAGTTCTTCCTGTCAGAATAGCTTGGAATGGAGAGGGAAAAAAACATAAAAACATGCCTCTTTTACAGCTAGTTACAATACCAAAGCAAATAGGGTCGAAGAATGAGAAACAACATAGTTTATCTAAATAAATGCATTTGCTTACTTCCACTTCCTCTTGTGACACCACTAAAAGGACAGTAGAGAATAAAAGGGCATAAACTCAAAAGAATAAGAGAAAAAGGAAGGGATACAAATGCAGACAAATGATGTCAAAAGTTCACAAGCAGGTAAGCAATTGAACAGAAATAATGGGTTTATCAGAGTAGAGGAAGTTCTGGGCCTTCAAGTGACATATTGTGTTGGGGGAGACAAGGAGTATAGACAGAGTAATGACAAGAGAAAAATCTTGAGCTGTTCTAAATTAACTTTCAGGATGTTTTCTGTAAATACTTCTTCCTTGCAGACTGTGCTCCTATCATAGAACTGCCCCGCTTCACTTTTTTCTGCCTCCCATCTCCGTAGCCAATGTAAATTCTTTCAAAACAAATTACATCTTTCTTCTTTAAAACATAATGTATAAAAGTGCTCATCAATTCCAAGATGGTGGACATGTTGCTTTCTCCACCTAGCGATGTTGTCGGTAGTTTAGACTTCATGCCCCAGGACTTGGTCTTTTTCTGGCTAGCATATGACTCAATACACTTTTTTTTTTAAAGACTTTCAGCCGTGGAAGTATTTTGTTGTTGTTGTTGTTGTTGTTGTTGTTGTTGTTGTTGTTGTTGTTGTTTAACACCAACAAGAATCAAACTAATTTGGACTACAGAGCTCTTGAGGTTCAAAATTTAGAGGCACCTAGTACCTTTGAAAGTAGAAGTGATGGATGAAACAAAATAAGAGGCATGTTTTAAAGTCTTTAAAAAGAGCAGGGAAGTCTCTAGATCTCATCCTCCGGCCTGGCTTTAAACAGGAGGTTACTTCTCTAGAAAGATTGACCAGCACAAAGGAGAAGACCTACATATTCTTACATGTGCAGGAGGTCTCTAATCAAACAGTCATATTCCTGTCTAACACCCTGTGGTGAAGCCCACCAGTAGATAAGCTCCACTCACACAGATCTGCTAGCCTCTTTGTCAGGCCTCAATCTTAAATAAGAGTGGTGAGTCAAGGATCCTCAGACATTTGAAAAATCTCCAACATAAAGCAGAGACAAAACAAGCAAACAGACACACACACACACACACCCTGAGAGGAGAAAAAGATAATGCAGAAAACAAGAAATCCTCAATAAAAAATTATAAATAATAGTTTCAGAGGGACAAGGGACAATTCATGAAGCAAGAACAAAAGGAATATCTAGATGACCAAAAATAAATTCCTTTAAAATTAGAAATATGGTAAACACACACACACACACACACACACACACACACACGCTTCATAAAGA